TTCTCTTAATTCGTGAACCTCTTTTTCTTCCCCGCTATAATTAGCCAACAAAAGAACCGGTTTGTTAGTCAAAAAATTATAACCTTTGATTAACTCTTTTTCAGAAGTGGATAAATCTAGTTGACTTACTGGTATTTCTTGAGCCAATTTCTCCTGAATTGATTGTAAAATATTTTTTTCTCGCTGGATTTTTTCATCCCGAATTTTTAACTTGGCTAATTTTCTTTCTATTTGTTGTAAATCTGCCTCAATCAACTCTAATTGAATTATTTCCCAATCCCTAATTGGATCTACAGATTTTTCCACATGGACTATATCTTGGTCTGGAAAACAACGAAGAACTTGACAAATTAAATCTACCTCCCGAATATGAGATAAGAACTCATTGCCTAATCCAGAACCTTGTGCGGCTCCTTTTACTAAACCGGCAATATCAACGATTTCGATAACGCTTGGAGTCGTTTTTTCACTTTGCCAATATTTGCTTAATTTTTCTAAACGAGGGTCAGTCAATGGCATTATCCCCACATTAGGAGTAATAGTTGCGAACGGATAATTAGCGATCAAAATATCTTTTTTGGTTAAAAAATTGAATAAACTAGATTTGCCGACATTTGGCAAACCTACCAAACCTATCTTGCAAGCCATATTATAAAATTTTAAGAAAACAAACTATACTAAACTTATATCATAATTACACATTTGCTACAAAAAAACAATATAAAAATATGAAAAGCGAACGCGAGAAATATAAAGAAAGTTTTGAAAATTTATTAAAAGTAGCCTTTCCAGAGGCAAAAATTAGTTATCTTGAAGATGGATTATGAAAATTATCGTTAAACGAGGACAGAGCTTTTCTCTATGATTACGATTTTGGAGCCAATTCGTCAAGTGCAGACCGAGTATGCATAGATAGATATCTGTTGTGGTTATTATTAGAAAAAAAGCGGGTCGATGAATATAACCAGTTATTGGAAATGGAAGTTATTGACCGCTGTAAAGAAAGAGAGTGAGATTTTGAAGAAGTAAAAAATAAATTAAACAAGCGGGTTGGAGAAAGGTCAATTATCATTAAGCCAGTCATCAAATCGGTTGCTGAAGCCCCTGAAGAATATATTTATAAAGTAGGAAGTGAAGAACAAGCGGTAGAGGCGTTAAATAAAACAGGTCTAGATGGCTCATTAGTGATAACCGATTTTGTAGAAGAACTAAATGAGGAATATCGTCTTTTCCTCATTAAACATGCTGGGAAAATTGAATTTTTGTTATGTCTAAAAAAACAAAGAACAGACTCGACTCTTACAGAGGAGTTTGTTTGACAACCGAATCACGAAATTTCGGTAATTTCCGAAAATAAAATTTCTTCCAAAATCAAGGAAATAGCCACTAATATTTTTCGCATGCTAGACTTGAATTTTGGCTACATAGAAATAGCCCGAAACGACAAAGGATATCTAGTTATGGAAACGAATTCCCGACCGCTAGTTAAATTATTTGAATATTGTACTAAAATCGAGTCTGAAAAATATGCTAAATTGGTAGAATTGATTAAAGAAACTATCAACCGGCGAAT